TAGGCGGGTGCGGGCCAGCGCTCCACCTCGGGCCCAGTCCTCTCATCGCTGCGGGGAGTGGTGTAAGTGCAGGGTGCTGGTGGGGTGCTGGCGATGTCGGACATGGCCCAGACCGCCTGCTAATTGGGTGCCCCGAGAGGGAATGTCTTGGAAGCATCTTGTCCCCAGACTTTAATTAGCATGAGTTAGTATCTTTAGGTCTGAATATTTTTAGAATTGTTCTCAACAAACAAACAAACACATGAACAAAAAATAGCCACGTACACTAGATCACTGTCTCTCCTCAGGCACCGCACGTCGGACTCACACTTTACTGATTTATTTCCAGGTTTCTGCTCTACAGCACATGCACTCACCAGACAGAGAATAGAGAGGCAAAGTGAGAAATCACCTCCCGGGGGCAATGGCCACACTCCCTTCTCCTCTAGTCCCCTCTCTGGATTTGAGGTACACACTCACATGTGCCCGGGTTGTCTGTCTTCCCTTTTCCTTTCTCTCTCTCTCTCTCTTTTTTTTTTTTTTGAGAGATTTTCACTGTAGGGCGCGTGCGCTCGCCAGACAGAGAGAGACACAGAGACAGAAAGTGAGAAATCACCTCCCAGGGGGGATGGTCACGCCGCAATCCTTTCTCCTCCGATCTCCTCTCGGGATCTTGGGCACACACGCACACGCGCCTGGTGTGAGTTTCAAGCCACCGAGTCCGGGACGCGAACCGCGGTCAACCACGTGGGAGTCCAGCGACATAGCCATTACGCTAACTGCTGGTTCCCTCCTTTCTCTTTCTTTCTCGCTTTCTGTTTCTTTTTTGTGATGCTTCTTGTGTTAAATTTATTGTCTTTATCTGGAATGTCATCATAGGAAATTGTCTGGTTTAGCTCTCAGCAGCCCGCTCCTGAGCTCTGAGGTAGCTTGCCTTCTTCTGGGCTACCCGACCTTTCTTCTGGGCAAGGGGCATTTTGGGAAGATTCCACCTCTTCCTTTTACCTTCTTTCTTGGCGTCCTTCCACTGGGTTCTCGCGTACAGCAGCACCTCCTCCGCCACGTCTGCAGTAGGGCTGCTCTTCATGTCCGGAGAGAACTGGTTCTTGTAAGCGTCTTCATCTCCCATCAGGCAATGCAGACAGTCCACGACGTTCCCGCCATCGTGTGCTCCGAGACTCTGCATTGCATTCCTCACTTTCAGACTCAACCAGGGAATCCTCTGGTCCTGCGGGGGAGAGATAAGCCTCCATCCGCCTCACCCTTCGGGCCCCAAAACCTTCATTACCAGGGGTGGTTCTGGCAAGGCCTGCGTCCCACAGCGAGCCAGGGCGCCAGGCTGACCCCCGGTGCTTTCCACGACGTACTGGTCTCCGGTCACTTCCCTTGGCCTTCAAGGATCTTGTCCTTGCCAGACCTACGAGGAGCCCGCGGGCCGCAGCAGGCCAGCACGACCGCGGCAGCGCTGTCTTCCAGGCGGCCTCACACCGCGTCTGGCGGTCCGTGTCGTGAGCGGTGCAGACTGGCACATCCCCCCACACGGGCACGGGCGGTCCCACAGACAGCCTCGGTGGGTACAGGAACCGTCAGCCTGTATCTGGTGCGTCGTCTTTACCTTTATCCCGGACCGCCAGGCGTTTCCGAGCACAGTAAGCACTTTCACCCTCTCGCCCTCTTCTGGATTTCACTTCGGATCTCTTAACGCGGGCCTGAGTCTCCACAACTCCAACAAACCCCACCCTGTGCAGTGGAGACCGTGGCCGAGGTCGACACAGACCCGCAGGCCCACGGCTACTGCGGAGAAAAGCACCTGGTGTGATTTCCAAGCCTGGAGGCCTGGACTCCAGACACAGTGGGCCACGTGGGAGCCCAGCACCAGAGCCACTGCCACCTGCCGCCCCTGCTCGCATTCTCACTGGCTCTGCCTCTTGCCCATCCTGCCCACGGAGGGGCTTTACCCAAGGAGTTCACAGTGTGTTTTTCATAGAGCTGAGGACACGTCCAGTTTTCAAAGCAATGAACAGGGGCCAGGGGCCAGTGGAAATTAAGGAAGGAGGTACGATTCGGTGAGGTTCTCCAGGTCCTGCCACCGTGTAGCCCATCCTGTGTGGCCTGGCTGCACATGCAGACCCCGGCAGTTACCGGAGTAGCTATTGGAACACACCGAGGTTCAAGGCTGAATCTCTACTGAAGCCAATTCTTCATCGTGCACGTAGGCCTCAACAGAGTCTACGCCCAAGTCCTGATCTGGGCTGCTGGGTAGGCTCGGGAGAGGTTCCTGCTCATAACGGTGGCCAAGTAAATCCTTACAACCTTCCAGGGAACGAACTTGGAAACATCTGAGAAACTTACCCTCAAACTATGTGAATGAAGCACCTGCAAGGCATATGCAGAAGGGTGTTCCGTGTGACTAGCTGTATCTGTGGAGGCGACAGGAAGGAGCAGAAGGGCGCCTCACCACCATGTTTCCAAACGTTTAAATATGCTTGTTCAGTGGGATTTGGCAACAAGAGTGTGTCCACATCTACCGACTGGGAGGAATGTCCATAATGTAACCGTGGGTAGAGCAAAGAGCAAATTGCAGAATTCAGTTCTAAAATTAGACAAATGACACCCCCGTTCAGCGGTGTACCTGTGTCAGTATATTCTTGTGTGACCACGGGGAACATTGAAGAGCCGTGTCTGCAGAGAACCTGAGCGAGCAGGTGGGGTGGGATCTTTGGGCTCTTTCCTTTGTTATGACAGACAGTGCTGCAATAATCAGCCTCTACATTTTTGCCAGTGTTGCTTCAGTATAGATTTCTAAAAGTGAAATCGCTAGGTCAGATCATGCTGAAAATGGAATTTCGGTAAAAATTCCCTGATTCCCTTCCATTCAGGCCGAACCGTGCTGCGTGTCCACGAGCAGTGTCTGCAGGTGCCTGTCTCCCCAGAGCCTAACCGATGGTCTGCTTTTAAACGTTTAGGTTATTGCTAAGTTCAAAGGACAGACAGACACGGCTTTATAGCACAGTATTATTTTGCTTCCTGTTGTGAGGGAGGAAATGGTTTCATCTTTAGGAACCACTTGCTTTTCTGTATCTCTGAACTCTCTTTCTATTTTTCTTTGCCTAGTTTTCTACATGGCTGTAGTTTTTGTATTCTCATTTTTAAAGGAGTTCTTAAAATAGCGACATTATTTCTTTGTTTTTGACTTAAGTGCAAAATGTATTTCTCAATTTTGGACTTTGCTTCGGTATGTTTTCTATGCAAAGTACTTGTTTTCATATACCAAAGTTATTAATTTCTAAACTATTTATTTTAGTGGTAACAGGTGCAGTAAATGTACTATGTCAATTTGGTTAATAGTTTTTCTGTGCTACCTTTCTCAACTTATATTGCTACACATAATTGATAAATAAGAACTATACATATTTATGGGTATAGTGTGATTTTTCGATACATGCTGGCAACGTACAATGATCAAATCATTGCATATTCATAAACTCAAACATTCTTTTTTTTTTTTTTTGAGAGGTTTTTGCTATAGGGCATGTGTGCTTGCCAGAAAGACAGAGAGACAGAGAGATAGAAAACAAGAAATCACCCCCCCGGGGGGATGGCCACGCCACAATCCCTTCTCCTCCATTCTCCTCTTGGGATCTTGGGCACACATGCACACACACACGGCGTGAATTTGAGTCACCGGGTCTGGGACTCGAACTGCAGTCGGCTACGTGGGAGTCCAGCGACAGAGCCATTATGCTTGGTCCCAGAACTCAAACATTCTTAATCCTTTTTTTCATTGAGAACACTGAAAATTCTTTCTTCTAGCTATTTTAAATATATAAAAAGTTATTGTTACACAATATAGTCACCCTGTAGTGTCATTGAATGCTAGAAGTTATATTCCTCCTATCGAGTTGTAATTTTATCATTTTTTCCAGTTCCACTTGCCCCCTGAAATTCCCAGCTTCCAGTAACCATCATTGTACTCTCTATTTCTAAGAGATCAACTTTTAAAGATTCCAACCTGAGGGAAATGTGATATTTGTTTGTCTATATCTAGCTTATTCACTCCACATGTCTTCTGGACTCATCCTACCAAGTGTGTATTTGTGTAACAGTGCCTTTGTCCTGTATCCTAGCCTGCACTTGTTACTTTTTTGTTTATGTTTTTGGTAATAACCATTCTGAAGAAGGTACCACGTTGTGGTTTTCTATTGCATTTCCCCAATGATCTTCAGTGTTGAGCATTTTTTTTTTCATATTCCTGGCATGTCTTCCTTTGAGGAATATCTGTTCAGATCATTTATTCATTTTAAAATTAGATTACTGTTTTCTTTCTTTTGCTAAGTTACTTGTATATTCTGAATATGAAAGGTGGCAGA